AAATACTGAAAGTTTCAAAGAGATCTATGTACTAGAAGTATTTTAAAATATGATGAATACAACCCCGGGGGTATAAAATGACCCCAGGGCGTAGGGATAGGGTTAAGTAAAAAGGGCAGTTTGGACAGAATGGCTTCTTTCTTATCAAACATCTATCGTCCTTATCTCTCCTCCTTCTTGTTTTGTGTTCGTTACTCTCTTGTAACATCTCTAGGCTCTATTCTTCGGCTCTTATATGACCTTATTGTGTTGCAAGTGCCGTAAAACTCTTACTAAAACTAAAACGGTTCTGGTCTGAGGGGGCGACAATGTCTCGATGAGGCATTGAACCACTTTCATTAATTAACCTGACCTGACCATCAATGATTTATTTATAGAGGCACCAGCCATCCATGTCCAGGTGCTGTTTTAGCCTGAAATTAATTTTTTTTTTTACGGTTATTTTTTTTTCCTTCGCCAGAATTTCTGACCGGGGCGGCGGTATCCCTGCCAAGATTGCCAAGAAGGTGTTTGACTACAACTTCACGACCAGCGGCTCGACGACAGACGATCGCGTGGATGGCGGGATCTTTGGGCAGATCATGCAGGCAGAGCACACGGGGCCCGCGCCGGGGAAAATGCACGGGTGAGTCTCGGAAGTAGTGTGCCATGTGTGTGTGTTTGTGTGTGTATGCGCGCGCGTGCGTGTGAGTGTGCGCGTGTGTGTGTGTGTGTCTGTTTGTGTTGTTCTGTAATATGCCCCTGGAAAATTGAGAAGCCGGTTTGGCTGGCAGTAGTCGCCCTGTGTGCTCGCGTTAGGTCTACGGCTAACGAGCGCGCGATTGTCTATCCTCAGTTTTGTCCACTTGACTTTGATTGTTTGTTATTTTCGTCGTTCCATACACATGTAATATAATTATTATGCTATTTTCGTCCTTCCATACACATGTAATATAATTATTATGTTATTTTCGTCGTTCGGTACACATGTAATATAATTATTATGTTATTGATGGCGCAAATGAACTCCCACCCCCCGGGGCAGTGCCATTGACTGAAGTGTCTTTAGGCCGTTTCCAAAGGGGGGACATTTCTCGTTCAAGCATAGTAGAATTGTAAATGGGCTGACTCATGTCACGCTCATAACTGTGCCTGATCTACAACAGGGAACAGCTGCTTTTTCTTTCCTAATCCTTACTATTGTCGTTTTCCCTCTCTTTCTTTTGTATGTTTGTCACTCTTTTGTGACCTGCTATTTTAGGGTGCCTTGATAGTCAAAGCAGACCTTTTGCTGTTGAAGCTAGAGATGTGAGCAGTCTAAGTCTAATTCCCTGTAAAGACTTCTCTGTTGACACCCACCCCTTGGCGCTCATATGACCTTATGCAGTTGCGAGCACCGTAAAACCCTTTACTATAAAAAAAATGAACTCTCTTTTTCGAGCTGGTGGGAGGCTTGATTTGCTGGGTAGTAATTTTGTTTTCCAGGTAGCTAAATTTTTTTGGGGAAATATTGCTGGACACCCTGACAGTTAGTGGTCAATGTTTGAGTTTTGAACTCCTTTTCAGGACGAAGGGCTAGAAATTACTTAAAGAGTGTCACTGGTTTTGAAAAGTAGAGTTAAGTGAGGTGAGGGGAAGTTATGTCAAGTAAAGAGCAAAGTCTCTGTCTTGGTCTGTGTCTCTCTCTCTCTCTCTCTCTCTCTCTCTCTCTCTCTCTCTCTCTCTCCCATAGTACCATAAACTTTTACCAAGATTATGTTTTATTTATCTTTCATTTACTCCCCCTCCCCTCCCTCTTTCAGCTACGGCTTTGGGTTGCCCACCTCCAGAGCCTACGCCCAGTACCTCGGAGGGTCCTTGACCTTGGAGTCTCTGGAGGGCATCGGCACGGACGTCTACTTGCGACTCAGCCACATTGACGGTCGCTCGGAAAGTTTTAGAATTTGATATCGCCTGTATTGGATTGATGACATTTTTAGTGCTATTGACAAGAGCAGTTTTGCTCTGTTTTTCCAGTTGTCTAGAGACCATGTCAGGAGTTTGGTGAGAACATTGGATATGTCACATTTTGAAGTTTTGCAAAACGGCAAACTATGGTTTGACCAGGGATGCCAAATGTCCAGGTTTTTTTCGGTTTTTCCCCGTTTTTTTTCATCCGTTGGAATTGCAAAGGAAAGGGGTGAGGTAAGAGAGAATAATATTTTATGTTTTTGTTTGCTCATTTAAAAGCTTTACAAGGTTCGGTTTAGGTGAGATGTGATGCTCCGCTCATTTTCAGGGTTAAAAAAAAAAAAAATCATTTGGCATCCCTGTTTGACTGACAATGACAATCTTTATTCATCTCGCAGGGAGAAAGTTGTCTTGGTCGTTAACATTTGCAGTAGATGTTACAAAGGTTAGGTACACTCACGCATGCGCTCACAACAAGACGGGACTCATTGTGAATTTTTGTTGATAACTATAATATCAGCAAAATTTTTGCGTATCATTTTTCAGTTCCTTTGCCCCGCTGACTTATACAACCGTAGCAGGTTCATGTGTTACTAAATGCCGCTGAAATTGTGTAAGACGGCCAGCCATTGACAAGGAGAAGAAAAGTGTCCGTCTTGGACAGGTGTTTGTCTTACACGGTGTCATTCTAATGGAAGAATAAATCACAAGGGGAAATAGAAAGTGGCCATTTGTACAGGTGATTGTCTTGTACAAGTGGCCGTTTGTTCATGTCGTTCTCATATGGTCGTTTTTAAGCACACGGGGGCTATCCTGGAATATGCTGTTCTGAGAAAATTGAAGGTAAAGATTTTGCCCCTTAATGGTTGCAAAGCGCATAGAGCATGCTCTTGAGCATGGATACGGGCTATATAAATGCAATTATTATATATATATTATTATTATTCAATTTTTTTTAAAAACAAGGACAGTTTTCTCTTTACCCAAACAAATATGCACACTTATGAAACCAAACTTCTCCTATAGGTAGGGCAATGGCCACTTTTGGTGTAGGTCAAGATTTCTGGAAACCCCCGAAATCCGGGTTAGCCCGCTTGTCCTTAAAAGTGACCATATACAGGTGGCCATTTGTACTGGGGATTGTCTTATACAGGTGGCCGTTTGTACAGGTGATTGTCTTATACAGGTGGCTGTTTGTACAGGTGATTGTTTTGTACATGTGGCCGTTTGTACAGGTGATTGTCTTGTACAGGTGGCCGTTTGCACAGGTGATTGTCTTATACAGGTTGCCGTTTGTACAGGTGATTGTCTTGTACAGGTGGCCGTTTGTACAGGTGATTGTCTTGTACAGGTGGCCGTTTGTACAGGTGATTGTCTTGTACAGGTGGCCGTTTGTACAGGTGATTGTCTTGTACAGGTGGCTGTTTGTACAGGTGGCTGTTTGTACAGGTGATTGTCTTTGACTGTACTCTGAGAAGAAAAGGGCTCCGCTCTTAACCTGACCGACCAAACTATGACATATCCAGTACTTCCGTTGACCTTTCGGCATTTGGAAAAATGTGTGTGTGTGCAGCCAGCGTAAACTGTTCTACAATACCTTTGGTTAGCAGCGCGCGTTACGTGCGACAGCGCCACAGTGTGTTAGTTACGTGTGGCAGCCTGTTACATGTGTAAATATGTGTGTTGTGAAATTTGTTTGCTGCATGTAGAAACTGTTCTGCAATGCCTGTGGTTGGCAGCGTGTTACGTGCGACAGCGTGTTACGCGCGGCAGCGGGATATTATGTGTAGTGTGAACTGTGTTTGCTGCTCGTATAAACTGTTCTACAATGCTTGTGGTTACCAGCGTGTACATGTGTAGTGTGAAATGTGTTTTGCAGCATTTATATACTGTTCTACAATGCCTGTGGTTAGCATGTTACGTGCATGTTTATGTTATATGCCTGTACATGTGTAGTGGGAAATGTGTTTACTGCATTTATATACTGTTCTACAATGCCTGTGGTTGGCAGTGTGTTATGTACAGGTACATGTACATGTGTGGTGTGAAATGTGTTTGCTGCTCGTATAAACTGTTCTGCAATGCAGTGTGTTATGTGCGTGTGCGTGTCACGTGCCTGTACGTGTGTGGTGTAAAATGTATACGCGTGTGTGTGTGCCGAACGAGTCGTTTCATAAACTTGTCTTGTTTTGAGTCGGGTACCGGTTAGTTTTATTATCTTTGTTGTCAGATTGCAAGTCACGTTACAGAGGCATTTAATCTTTGATTGATCACATTTTGTTGCTAGGGCGGTTATTATTTTTTTAATTTTACAAAATATTTTTGCCTGTGAGTTTTCGAACCAATGTCTGAGATGCAATGCTATTTTGCTCTTCTTGCAGGCAGAAGACTCGAGTTCAATTCTGTGTGGGGGAAATGTGGGAGGTTGACGGGTGCTCCGGTGTGGTTTGCTTCTTCGTTCCTATCAAACATCTATCGTCCTTATCTCCCCCTGCTTCTTTTTTATGTTTGTTACTCTCTTGTAACACCTCTAATCTTCTGGCGCTCATATGACCTTATGCAGTTGCGAGTGCCGAAAAACCTCTACTAAAACTTTTTTTAAAAATGTGTGCGGAAATTTTCTTGTTCAAGTATTTTCTCCTGGGATGTAGTGTCTCATTCAGCTCAAGTCCTCTCAGGCACAATCTTCTTGATGTTGTTTACTGCGGTTTTTGCAACCAATTAATTCAATACGCTCACAGGTTTTCAGGTTGGTTCGTGCTAATAATTCATCCATGTTTGCTAACTTAGTCAGCGAGGTATTTTCTGCAGGTGAATTTTTTTTAAATTTTTTTTTTTCGGCTTTCGTGTTTGGTTTGTCCCAAGCTGTCCTTGTTTTTGCCGTGGGTTGTTGGTGGGTGCTCTGGTGTGGTTTGCTTCTTCTTTTCTATCAAATGTCTATCGTCCGTATCTCCCCTCCTTCTTTTTTGTGTTTGTTACTCTCTTGTAACATCTCTAATCTTCCGGCGCTCATATGACCTTGTGCAGTTGTGAGCGCCGTAAAAGCTCTACTGAAAACAAAAAACCTGCCGTTGGGGTTGTTAAAATGTCATTATTCTTACAGGCTAGAGGCGCTCGTTATTTCCACCCCCACCCAACCCATCAATCCCTGAATTTCTGTTGGAAAAATGGCATATTTTTTTGTATCTTGCAGAAGTTTATCTTTTACTTAGCTGTGTTTTTGCTAGGTTAATTTCATGTGGGCTTCAAACATTCTCTGTTTACAATGATGAAAGATTTGTGGGTGGTTGGCCGGTGCTCTGATGTGGTTTGCTCTTTCTTTCCTATCAAATGTCTATCCTCTTTATCTCCCCTCCTTCTTTTTTGTGTATGTTACTCTCTTGTAACTCATAATCTATTTTTCGGCACTTAAATGACCTTATTGTGTTGCTAGTGCAGTAAAACTCTTACTAAAACTAAACCAAATATAGGTTCAATTATTCATGTGGGCTTCAGACATTCTCTGTTTAAAATTTTTAAATGATGAAAGATTTATTTATGTTGTTTAAAAAGCTTTCTTGCTGTACCTTGTACTTTGGAACTGAAAAAGAATCTCTTTTATATATATATATATATATATATATATATGCAATGTCTCTTCAATAGTTGCAGTCGACTGGTGTGGGTAGCTGTTCAGAGTTGATGATTCACCGCGCAGTTTTGCCCCAGTTTCTGTTGGTACAAGTGCTTGTTTCTAACCGTTAAGTGTATATATATATGTGAGGCAGCGTGGTGGAATCAAGCTCTCGTCAAAATAGTCAATGTGAAGAAAAGTGCTTTTTTCTGTTGGTTTGTGAGTTTTTATCAAGTTTTGGTATTTTGGGTTCAACACCTTTCATGCCCTTTAAAGAACTCATTTCTGTGTGGATTTTTCTGAAAAACACAAAAATGTAGATTTTCAGTTGCCGTAGACTCTTAAGCTTAAGGAAATAACTAATCTTTGGCGGCCATTTTCTCAATTATTTTACCTCTGAAAACAGGTGACCCCCGCATCCTTCATTCGCAAATATCTTGACTTGTATTTAAGGTAAATGGATATTTTTTTCATCCGAATAAAGACAAGTGAACTAGCTTTACGATGATACCAATAACTCCACATGTCCAAAAATTGACAAGAGCCTGATTCCGCCATCCTGCATCACATATATATTTTTTTTTTTTTTCGCGCTAGCTTCCTCGTGCCGATCTCTGTCTGTGTGTCATGTTGTGTCTACGCTGCACGCTTCTGTGCTTACATTTACAGACTCAAACTCTTTTGTCTCAAGCTTATGATATTAGAGCAAAGTTTTCGTAGATTGTCCGAAATGCCGAGGAGTTCTGCCCCCATGTTTTATGAGAATTGATCGCTTTTAAGCACAAGGGGGCTATCCCGAAAAATGCTGTTTTGAGAAAATCAAAGGTAAAGTTTTTGCCCCTTGTTCCGTTTCTTTAAAAGACAAGGAGAGTTTTCTCTATAACCAAACAAATATACACACCAATGAAACCAAACTTCTCCTATAGGTAGGGCAATGTCCACTTTTGGTGGTGTAGGTCAAGATTTCTGGAAACAAAATCTGGGCTAGCCTGCTTGTCCCTTGAAAGCGACCAATTGTGTCACTATTTTTAGACTTTGTCCACTATGATCAAACTTCGTTCGCATGCTGCGTATCATTTGTCTCAATTTCAAAGAGATTCTATTTATGATTTGTGAGTTGCGCTGACAAAATGAGTTACTTCTCCGATTTTAGCCATATGAACATTAATACATCAACTTTATAGGTGAAGTTTGTACAATTTGTAAGTATGGAAGAATAAAAGACATGGTAGACTTGAACAAAATGGTATCAATTAGAAATCTATAAATTTGACCGCAGTGTCGATTTTCGGCCGATATGTCCATTCTTGGACAGCGAGAAGTAACTCATTTTGTCAGCACACCTCACATTTGTATTCCATAGCTAGCAGGGAAGCCAGAATTATGTAACAGAGGGAGGAAAGGAGGAAAATTTCCTGTGATCCTTTTTGTTGATGACTTTGCCTGTATAGTATGGGAATATGAGTATGTGGGTGGTTGGCGGGTGCTCTGGTTTGGTTTGCTTCATCTTTCCTATCAAACATCTATCTTCTAATTCTCCCCTCCTTCTTTTTTTGTGTTTGTTTCTCTCTTTTAACACCTCTAATCTTCGGCACTTATATGACCTTATTGTGTTGCGAGTGCCTCAAAACACGTAGTAAAACAGAACAAGAATGTTAGTATAGAGTGGGAATAACTTTTTCTCTCCTCCTGAAAGAATTTGCCTGGATATACTCTACC